GTCCTGCCTAACTGCAAAGGAAGCAAAGGGGGGGGGGGGGGAGATACGTCAAGACCGGTGAGGGAGCCAATGCCCTTTCACCAGCCCCTTTGGGGAACTGAGCCCCCATCTGGTGCTGAGACCAGCCCCTTCAGCCCCAGGCTTTCTTGCCAGAGTGCATTCTTACCCGCTTAGCATAGCATTAAGAACTCAAAACCCATCACCCCCATAGGCCCTTCCTGGCACTTAGCATAAGGCCACAATCGCCCAGAGGCTTAGGAGTGGAAGGTTTGCCCATCATAACCCATGCGCCTTCTTTTCTCTCTCTCTGTCATAATTGCTGATTTATCATTTATAGTCTCAATTCTTTCTCAAAAGGATTTCTTAAAAAGAGATCAGAACACATTTAGGAAACAAGAGTAAGCTAGAATGTTGAACATTTATCACAATTGAGTAACACAGCAATGTAATAAGATAACATAATAAATTACATTTATTACAGTGATGCGGTAATAATACTTTCCAATCTGAGCTTCCTAGTAGCAGAGGCAGAAAGGGAAACAACTTCATCCCTTCCTACTTCTTTTGCCAATTCTCTTTTCCCTTCCTAGAGTCTCTTTTCTTCATCCTCCCTTGTTCTCCATTGGGGGCAGATTCTTTCTTTTTAGACTTCTGTATTGCCCTTCCAGCATCCTGTAGCCCATGGCTAAGGATTGGTGTAAAAGAACCTTCGATCTGAAGAACTGAGCCTATCTAGGATTTGAAGGTCACTCCCACACCATCTCTTGTTTCCTATCCACAGGTAGAGCAGAGGTTAGAATTCCAGGACAACCTCTCAAGAAGATATCTTGACCCCACACAGGGAGAGGTCAAGACCATGGCTTCATGGTCTTGGAAGGCAGACCTGGAAGGCAGACCCTCTCATGTCCTTCCTGCACATGAATCCACTGAGTCACCAGCATGACCCTGCAAGAGAGACCTATAATGTTATCCCAATTTGCAGATGGGGAAACTGAGGCCAAGAAGGGAAAATGATCTGAGAATGATTAACTAGCCCCCTGCCCCTAACCCAGCTTCAGGATCAGAGACCCCCAAGCTGTGGGTGAGGTGCTGAGAGGGGGAGGAGGTGGGCTTCTGGGCAGGCCCAGTTTGGTCAGAAAGGATCAAGAGATGAGCACGTCCCCTCTTCCCACCCCCAGACTCCAGTTGCCATAACAACAGGGCCTCCATTTCAGGCATTTGCTGGGAATTTGCATTTTAATGGAGATGTAATTAGAATTAAAAAGCTGATTCTGGAAGGGACAGAACCTTCCATATCCCCTTGGGAGCCAGAACCCCTCCCAGAGCCCACTCCCCACTCGTGCCCTCCTGAAGCCCACCCTGATGCTTCCGCTACTGCCAGAGCCATTTGTCTGCTAGTGTCTGTCCCCACTGCCCAGATGGGGCTGGGAGGCCCCTGCTGAAGGAGCTCCCCAGCTAATGTGCCCCTACTGGCTTGCTGAGGGCCCCCCAAGTCCTCCTCCAAGACCAACCTTTCCTCTTAGCAACCTCTCAACATCTTGGTGGCCCAGGAGTCCACAGGGCAGGGAACCCCCCATCTTAGCCCACAGGGAAAGGAGGCCCCAAAAGCAAGGAATGTGCCAAGGTCGCATTGCAATGCAGGGAAACAGCTGTGTCTTTGGCTGGTCAGGGTGCAACCATTAAAAAGACCCCCTCGTGGACCTCCCCCCACCTCAATCCAGAGTCAATGTCTGACGCTGGATCTCCATGGAGAATTTCCAGCAGCTTCTCCTGTGTCTTTATTAAATTCTCAAAATCAGCCATGCCCAAAATTTTATCTTCTCACATCATTGAGAAGAAGCCAAGCAGTGTCCAGACCTTCCTGATGGATCTGGAGCTGCCCTCAAACCACCCCAAGTGCTTACCACGGGAGTCCAGGGTGCAGCGGTCACTATACACACAGGCCCTGGACACAGGTCCCAAGGGCACGGTGCTGGCCCTTATGGCAACCATTCATTTCCAAACACATAATGCCTACTGTGTGCCCAGATGCTGTGCCCTCGATCCTCACAGCATTCATGTGAGTCAGGGACTACTGTTCCAGTCAAGGCACAGATGAGGAAACCAAGGCACGGACAGGTAATGTGACTTACCCAACATCACACAGCTAGAGAGTGAAAGAGCCAGAATTTAAACCTGCACCACCTGACCCCAGAGTTCACCTTCCCTCCAGACCTCAGGACTCCAGAGCCAGGTACTCAGGCCCCCACCACCCCAGCCCTGGACTTTCTCAAAGCCCAATTCGCAAAGGAAGAAATGGGCCCAGAGAAGACAGGTGGCTTGCTTGTGGGCCCACAGCTACGTGAGCCAAGCTGTGGAAGCCAGAGCACCTCTGTCAGCCCCCTCCCCGGCCCTGCACATCTCCCAGCATGCCCACGCCCAGGGGGACGTGCATCAGGGAGACTGAGGAGGAAAGGGAGCCTGGCGACAGCGTGGCCAGGAGGAAAGGAGCTTGAGCCCCAGGACATGACACGTGGCATCACCTTTCAGCGAAGACAAGGCCGAGGCCAAGCCCAGGAGCTCCCGGGAGGGGAGGAGGAGACCAGCCCAGAGGCTCACTCCCCCGCAATTTAGAACCCGACAGTGCAGAAATGGATTTTCTCTGGAGCTTGCCTGTAAACCCACTTCAAAGACACCGAAGGCAGGAGATGGAGGGGAGCGGAGGGGAGCGGGAGAGGAGAGCGTGAGCAGTAACGCAGGGCGAGGCGGCCCAGGGAAGGGGGCGGCGCAGACACAACCAGGCTGCAATCACGGTCGGAAAAGGCAATTGGAAATTCCATTTGGGTTTTCAATTTGAAGGTGGCGAAAGGCCAGGAGCTGGGAGAGGGGGGAGCCGGGAAGAGGGTGACTGGGGAAGAGACAGACAGGACAGAGACAGGAGAGAGACACGCCAGAGATATGGTGAGACAGAGAGACACAGAGCAGGAACTAGGCTGGACAGAGAACAGCAAAAGCAAATTACAAGATCCCAGGGCACCCCCAGCGCGCAAGGCAAAAAGACCACACACGCTCACCCTGGCGTACTCCCCCCGTGTGCCTGGCCTAGTCCTCACTCTGCTCTTGAAACGCTGTGTGACTTTACAGAAGACCCTGTCTTCCCCGGAGCCTGCGTCCCCCTGAGGCCCGGGGAAGGTACGCTGGTTCCAGGAATGGGGTATGGGGGCGACGGGGGGGCTCCGCACAGTGACACATCTTCACGGGGCCGAGGGTCATGGCCGAGCAGGCACTGAGAGGTGCCCAAGGAAGGGCTGGGGGTCCTCCACCTGCAGATGAGGAAACCGGCTCACCCACCTCCCCGGGGAGCGGGCCTGAGCAAGGGGCCCAGCGAAGGAGCCGTCCTCCTAGATGGGGTGTCCGGGACAGGAGGGGCACCCACTGCCCAGAGTGCAAATGGACGTGTCTGTAATATCGGCGGAAAACAGTCCCTGGGCACTGACCCCCCAGTCCCTGGCAGCTTGCTTCACCTCTTTGCCACTGACTCCTCACCCGCACTTCAGGGATGCTGCTACCCAAGCGCCACCCAACTGCTGAGGAAGCGGAGCTCGCCCTGCCAGAGCTTGCCAGGGCCGCACCGCGCCCGCCGCCTCCCGGACGGGGGGCCCAGCTGCCATTCGCACACCTGAGGGCCGGGAGGCTTCATCTGGCCCTGGGCCTCCCCCGTGGCCCAGCCTCAGTTTCCCGCCCCTCCTCCAGGTCCGGCCCGGGCAGGGTGTCTAGAGAGGCCGTGGGGCAGGGACAGCGGGAGGCTGGGGGGCCGCGAGGGCCGCACCCCTCCTGCCTCCCGGACACCCCGCCCCGGCCGGGGCTGGGCGCACAGCGCCGGCGAGAACGCGGTCCTGTGGCGCCACCTCGTGGCCGAGGCGCTCGCGGGCCCCGCGCGGCCGGCCCGGGCGCGAGACAGGCACCGCCGCGCCCCCCGACGCCCGCCCCGGGCCGACGCCGCCCCAGGCGCGGGGAGTAAAACGGCGCCCGAGGCAGAGACCCCTCCCCCGCGGAGGGGCCGGGGGGCCGCACGACGAGAGCCCCGCCGCCCCGCGCGCTCGTCTCGGGGGGCCGGTCCCCTCCCGCCCGCCCCCCGCCCCAGCCCAGCGCGGAGGCCCCCCGGGCCCGGGTTCCCCGCGCGGACGCCCGGGGGACCCCAGGTCCCGGCCTCTCGGCCTCCCGCCCTGCAGGGGGCCGCGGAGCCCCTGGGCCGCGGGCAACGGGCGCGTCGGCGCTTCCCGCGCGCCGGGACGCCGGGGCCAGACCCGAGGGGCTCCGGGGGGCCGAGCCTTCCCGGGGCTCCTCTCAGGCCCGGGGGTCCCTCCGGGGAGCCGGCCCAGGCCCCCGAGGCCGCCCCGGCCCGAAGCCCCAGACTCGGGTCCAGGACCCGGGGCTCCCGGGACGGGGCTCCCGCTGCGCGCCCCGCGCCGCGCCGCGCCAGGGCGGGAATGACCGTGACAGGCGCAGGCGCCGCGCCGGGCCGCGGCCTCCCGGGAAACGGCTGCAGCCCCAAACACACGACCTAACGGGGAAACCCTGATCACTGTTTGCAGCTTTGCAAACGTCTCTGAGTGTCTGGCGTAACGGACGGCGGCGGTTCTCCCGCCACGCGCGACCCGCACGACGCCGCCCGGGCCCAGGTTCCTAAAGGTCCAGCCTCGAATTTCCCCCTTCGCGCTACGCGAGGACTCGGCGCGGACCCGGCGGCCCCGCCCCGCCGCGCGGGCCACGAGACGGCTTCCGGGAGGGGGCGTGGCCTTGCGCGCCGCCGGCAGGTTGGCCTGGGATTGGGCGGCCTACGCGCCTGCGCGTGGGCCCCGCCTGCCGTTCACGCCCCTTCCCCGAAGGAAACCTGCAACCCTCGAGGCGTGCGTCCCTTCCGCCCGCCCACTCCGGAACCTTCTGTTCGGGCTCGCGTTTCCGCGGAGAGGACTAGGCCGGTCAAGCGGAAGTAGCGTGAGGCGCGGGGGCGGGGCCAGGCGCGGCCATGTCGGCGGCTCTGCTGCGGCGGGGCCTGGAGCTGCTGGGGGCGCCGGAGGGTGAGGAGGGGCTCCCCGGGACGCCAGCGCGGCGGGAGGGCGGGAGGGCGGGAGGGGCTGCGGCCCGGCGCCCGGAGAGCGCGGAGCGATGCAGGCCCGCTTAGCCTGGGGGGGGGTGGAGGGCTCCTGCTGTCCCCCGACCTGGGTCCGTTCTCCCGCGCGTCCCCCCCAGCCCCCCAGGCCTCGACCCGCCGGGCCAAGGCGAGCGGGGCTCCAGGGAAGCGGGCCCGGAAGGCGAAGGCCACCCAGGCCCGGAAACTGCGGAACTCGGCCAAGGGGAAGGTGCCCAAGTCGGCGCTGGGTGAGTTCGGGAAGGGGCTGAACAGGCGGCCCCGCGCGCGGGAGGACGCCCTGGAAGAGGGGGCGCTTGAGAGGTTCGCCAGGCAGTTCTAGAATTCCTGCAGCGGAGTAGGGGATGTGGTGGCGAACGAAGCACGTCTCCCTGGCCCACCTGGCCTTCTCGCCCCATGCGGGGAGAGAAGCATCAGGGTCAAAGCCCGCACCTGGCGGATGAGGCCAGGAGTGAGGCTGCCCTGCTTCGGGAGGGCTTAGAGGAAAACGCCTTGTCCGAGGGAGCGCCGTTTAAGCCCAGGTCTAAAGGAAGTAGAAGAGCGAACCAGGGGGAGAGTGTGGTGAAAGAAGGGCGTCTGCGTGTCGAAGGGAGCCTGGAAAGGTGCTTGTGGCCCGCAGGGGTCAGAGGTGGCGCATCTGACAGTTCAGTCTGCGCGCCCCGGGCGCTTGTAAGCCCCGTACAGTACGATGTTCGCTCATGACCCGTGAGGTCGGTGTGTTACCCCAGTTCACAGATGCAGAAACACGCATCTGCTCAAACGCTACAGGTAGAAACCCGCCAGCGTGTCTCACCTGCTCTGTTCAGCCACTTCCCACAAGTCGTTGTGGGGATGGAGGAGGAGGGAGACCCAGAACAGAGCCCAGTTCCTAAGGCGCACCTGGGGGTAGGTGGAGGAGATGTGGGCAGGATTGGGGGTGTTGACATGTGGCGGGACTCGGTGAGCTCCTAGTGTGTCTTTGATTCCCGGGGGCCTGATAGCTAAAAGATGTTCATGTTCAAAGAGTTGTTAACTCTGAGGCGGACATATGACATGAGCCGGTGTGGAGGCAGGAAAGCAGTCGAGCCACAGAAATGTATGAAACAGGACCATGGGGTGCCAGCAACTTTCCGACCCCAACCCGGCCCTTGTCCCCCCAGCCTGCTGTGGTACATAATTATGGCCAGTCTCATGAACACCCCTGGGGCTGCCACCCTGGCTGAGCTGCATCATCTCTTACCTGAATCATTGCAAAGTCACATCTGCTCTCCCTCAGGTGTTCCCTCTCCCCATAATCTCACCACAGCCACGGTGATCCTGCCAATCATAAGTCAGACCCACCTCCTGCCCCTGCACCCTCACCGACTCCCGTGGGACCTGGTGAAAGCCGCATATGGTCCACTGCCTCTACAGCTTCATCTGCTGTCCCCTCCCCTGGTCAGCTATTTCTGTTCTTGGAACACACTGGCCACACTTCTGTTTTAGGGTGTTTGCACTGGCTGCTCTTCTACTTAAAATGCTTTCTGCCTTCAGTCTTTGCCCAAAGGTGATTTCAGTGAGGCCTCCTCATACCCTCCAGTGAGGACTTGGAGCCCTCCACCCCCGGTGTTCCTCATTTCTGCTCACTGTTTTCTTTCTCCATAAACTGTATCACCCTTTTACATACCCCTAGTCCAGTATCCTGGCCCGTCCCCCACTCCCCCAAGCTCCACTGGAGTTGCATCCCAACAGAGCCGACACTGTACTGCTTCACACACACTTGCTGAATGAATGAATAAATCAAATCACCTGAGCGGCAGGTCTGTGTGGAGAGTGGGTTTACCAGGAAAGAGCCCTGGCTGTTGCAGTGATCTAGGGAAGGGATGGGGGGTGGGCAGAAGGAAAGGGAGGTTTAGAGGGGAGACATCAGCAGGAATTCAGAGTGAATCTGAAATGATGCCACCTGCCCACAGCTGAGTTCCAGAAGCGAGCTTGTCAGAGCAATCTCCAAGTAAATCTGAGGCTTATGACCAAATCGAGGAGCACCTTGTCCGACTCCGTGACCCGGCAGGTCTGTCAGCAGGGTGGGCGTGGGAAGGAACCTGCAGGATGCGCGCTGAGGCCTTCCCTACAGGTCCCAGCCCTGCAAATAGGGTGGAGGGTGGGTACCCTCCTAGGCTGCTCTGCTGCAAGGCGTTTCCCCAAGCCTCAGAACAAAGCAGAACAAGGTGGGAGGCAGTGTGTGGACTTCCTCCCTTGGGATCTTGGTAGGCTCCTCTGGGTAGGACCTTGGGTTCGCTCCCCTGTAAATGGGACGATGGGCTGTATGTCCCATCGGGCAGCTACACACCAGCACTTGTCCCAGGTGTGTAGCTCCAAGTGGCAGTCCCTTTGTGTGGGAGTCATCAAGCGCAGATCCTGATTTCTACACTCCCACCCTCCCCCAGATTGTGCTGCAGAACCGGGGCCGCAAGGCCTGTGACCGGCCTGCGACCAAGACTAAGAAGAAGAAGGCAGAGGGCACCGTGTTCACTGAGGAAGACTTCCAGAAGTTCCAGCAGGAATACTTTGGCAGCTAGGCCCCAGGAAGACATAGGGGAGAGGCACCAGGGCCGCCTCCTCTGACTTCACAGCCCCCAGGCTGCCAGCCCAGTTCAAGGAAGCCCTGGACCTGGAGCAGGCAGGAGACTGGAATGGAGCTGAGCCGGGAGCCCTGGGGAGGCTTGACACGGGACTCAGAGGCCATCTATGGGAATGAGCTGTTTCCCCCACCGGCCCTCTGGGCTGTTTGCTGTGCAAAGGCCAGTGATGGCCTGTGTAAGCGCCTCTAGCAGGTGGGCTGAGTGGGCTTCACAGCTCAAATAAATGTGGACTCCAGGGCTGGCTGCATGCTAATCTGACTTTTCCTTCCCCCATCCCCCCTTGCCCTGAGAACACCCAGTGTTTGCTGACCTACCCCAGAGGTGCCTTCCCTTCTGAAGCAAAAATAGCTCCTGCAGCTGCCAGGGGCTGTGTTCCAAGGTAGGGGCTCCAGCCAGAAGGGGAGTACACTGCCTTTGCACACTCCCCTCCCCCAACCTACTCTAGGGGAGTGGGTAATTGCTTTTACCTCTCCAGTTCCCTTGGAGGGAGGGCAGTAGTGGGAGGTCAGGCTCCTCATTCACCAGTGGGGCTCCACCAGGAAGGGGGCACTTTCAGTTTGAGCAGCACCTTGACAACCTGTTGCCATCCCACCACCCGCAAGTGCCCAGATGTAGGTGCTGTCTACCTTCCAGACCAGGCACCTCTTTATCTGTGCTGTGACACCTCCGGGAGGAAGTTCCTGAAGCGCTAACTTGCCAGGACCACATCTTCACTCCCCCAGGCCCACTGGAGTTACCTGGGAACACCCTGGCTGGGCAGTTTCTGCAGCTCCCAACCAATGTCCAAATGAGGCTAGTGTCCCAGCCACTGGAAAGCACCCCCACCCCCCAATCTACCATGGGGCAGCCTCAGCACAGCATGCCAGGTCCCCTGGCATCCACTCTCTGCCAGGGTAACCACCCAGTTCCCCATGGATTCAATGAAAAATAAAGCCGTCATGAGTGGGTTCCCCACCCCCCCACTCCATAGAGCTCTCCGGAACTATTAAGCTTCCCCAGTGAACCTAGCAGCCACTGGTGCTCAGCTCAAAAGATTTTGAGGAAGTTTCTGGGTATGTGTGCTGGTGGAGGGCTGGGGCCAGGGCCACTTCTCTCCCACTCCCACCCCAGCTGCTTGCTCCCCGGCCTGGAAATGGAACAGCAGTCAAACGATGCTTTCACTACAAAATAATTTATTACAACACAGCTTCAGCGCAAGCCTATATACAAGCACACTCGTGACTACCCTAACTAGGGAACCTTTTTCTTTCCCCTTGCCTTGCGGACCTCTTCTATCAGATCTTTCAGGTACTGGATCTCCTTGGCCAGGGATTCGGCCCGCTCCTTCAGAGCCTCGTTCTTCTTCTCCAGCTCTTTACACTCGCCAGTGAGGGCCTCCTGCTCTGCCCTCTTCTTCTGGCGGTACCTAGTGGCTGCGGTCTTGTTCTGCTCCATTTTCTTCAGCTTCTTATCCAATTTCTCCCCTTTTACTTTTGCTGCTACAATCTTCTCTCCAGGAGGGTCATAGGGCTTGGGGCGGGCAGGGCCACAAACGACACCTGGGGCTATCACACTCCTGTTTGGAGAGCTCCTGGAGGTGGGGGGACTATGCTGGGGAGAGCCTAGATACTCGGGACTCATGCAGATACCACTATCGTTATCTGAGGGGGAATCCTCCTCCTTGATGCACGGAGGGACCATGGTAACATAGGCCGTGGAGTCTGGCTTCCTGTCTCCTTCAGAGATGTCCACTTCACTGCCTAGCTCTAAACTAAAGGAATGGTCTGGAGTGGAAGACAGGGCCCCTGGGGAAAGGGGGAGAGGTTGCAGAAAGGTCAAGGGGGCAACCTGGTCTGTTTTTGGTAAACTTTCTGGAAGATGGCCAATGGGGTTCACTATCTGGGGGGGCTCCTTATTACTCTCTTGGACTAGGGGGTCAAAGAGATCACACGTGTCATCCAGCGAGGCCAAAAGCTCCTCTGGCATCGTTTCCAGGTCACCTAAACTCAACAGGGCATCAAAGTCGAACTCATTCAGATCTATTTTCTCCACCATCCAATCTGTCCCGGAGAAGGCATCCTCTGCGGAAGATTGAGAAATGGCGCCCGTAAGTCAGACCCGAGAGCGCGCGCCCCATCCCCAGACCCGCCCCCCGCGGATAGAGGCGACGCCGTCTCACCCTTGCCGATGTCTGAGGCGTTGACCAACCCATCCACAGCCAGCCACTCGGAGGAGCCCGCCTTAGCCTTGTCGCCGGAGAACCCATGAGGTTTGAAGTGCTTGGCCACCTCCAGGTAGTCGTCCAGGAGACCCAGGCTTTCTTCAGCCCCCAAAGCCGACTGGTCGAAGGGGGACATCAAGTCCCCCACCAACACCTCGCTGCTCAGGAAGCTCATCTCGGCCATGCTGCGGGGCTTTGCGGGATTCGAGGAATGGACTTAATTCGAAGGTGTCTTTGTCGGTTACAGCAACGCTGCTGCTGACTGCCGTGAGAAGCCTGCGCAAGCGGCAGAACCGAGTCCATCAGGCGCCGGCCGGCCCGGCCCGACCCGCTCCCCTCCCCTCGAGGCGCCACATCGCAGTCCCCTGGCGGCCGGGGCCCCCCGCCCGCCTCCGGCCCCGGGCCGCCCAAGATGGAGGCCCGGCCGTGGCCCGCCGGCCGCCCGGGGGAAGCTCCGTCCTCCCGTCCAGATCCGGCCGCGGCGCCCCGCCCCCGCCGGCCGCGCCCGCCGCCATCTTGGCTCCTGCCACGTTTCGCGGGCGCCGCCGGGCGCGGGGCCGCCCCGTCCGCGGGAGCTTCGCCGCCACCCCGGCGCCGCCCGGCCGCGCCCCCCAGCCCGGAGCGCCGCGTCTCGGCGCCGCGGAAACAGGGGCCGCGCGTCCCGGGCGCTCGTAAAGCCGCTTCCCCTCCGCGACGCCGCCCGCCGGCCGGCAGCCCTCGCGGGCCAGGCGCGCGCGGCCCGGCCGGCCCGGTACTTACGCCATGGCTTAAGCCGCTGGGGGGTGCCGCTGCAGAGCCTGGTGCTGCTGCCGCCGCTGCAAAGGCCAACGCTGCCGCAGCCACTGCTGCCTCTAATACGCCATGGCGGCCGCGAACCCGGCGGGAGCGGAGCAGAAGGCGCGCGAAGAGGATCTACATGCACCGGCCGGACGAGGAGAAATGGCCGCCGCGCGCCGGCCGCGGAGCCTTTATAGACTCGCCCCTGGGCCGCATCGCAGCCACATCCTTCCGCAGAGGTCACGTGACGGCGCCTTCCACCCATTTGTTTTCACCGAACCGACGCCCCTACTGTTTCCCACCCTTGACTTCCAAGGAAGGGGTGTAGCCAGGGAGGGAAAATGAGTCACTTTCAAGGTCTCACGAAAGGAAAGAGGGGCACTACTTTGCAAGGCTTTTAAGATCGAAGTCACTCTTGCCTCCGCCGCCAGGAGCGCGGAGGGATCTCCTGACGCGCCCCGCTTCCGGTGTCAGCTCGGGGCGGGGAGACGAGCCTCTCATCCCTAGAAGGTTTTATTGTGGAGGCGGCGGCCGCCTGGTTGTCGCGCGACGTGCTAGCGGGGAGCGCGCGTCGAGCTGATTGGTCAGGCACGGTGAGTCATGTATATCTCAAGCTCCTATTGGCCCGACCGAGGGAAGGGGCGGGGCTGTCGGTTTCGTTCCCGCCGGCGGCCTCAGTCTTCGCCCAGTCCGAGTCGGCGGTGACGCTCCTGCGCAGCGACCCTCCCGCCTGTCGCCGCCGGCGCCCGCAGCGCGGGGCGTCCTTAATGGCGGCCTCCCGCCGAGGCCCCGGCTGGCCGCCCCCCGGGCCGCCCCAAGCCAGCCGCCGTGCTCTAGCCCGGCGATGTCGCGAGGCCTCCGGGGCTTTCGCTCCGTGTGCGCGTTCGCCGGGCGCACGCCCCTCGGGAGCTAGAAGGGGAGCCCGAGCACCCCAGTCGAGGGGGCCGCCGTGCCCACCTGCCGGCGCCGCGGAGCTGCCTGGCCAATGTAGCTCCCTCCCGCCCCCTAGAAACGAGGGGAGGCTGACTCGGCCTTTACCCTCGCGCTGGGGTAGCTTCTCGACTCCGGACCCCGTCACGCCAGGCAGCGCTTCCCCTCCAGTCCTCCACGCCCCCCCATCCCGGGGACCCCAGGTTTGGGTCGGACCTCCCACTCGCGGGGTGCTGGGAAGTGAGCGCTGAGCAGCTCCCGCCTCCCTGCAGTACCCCCAGTCAGGCCCCCTGGGAACAGAAACCGTGAGTTTCCGCCTTCACGTCGGGGCCATACAGGTATCATTTCTGCGAGGGCTGTGATGTCCGAAAAACGGGCCATCTGTGGACTTGCTACAGTCCAGCCCAATGATTTCTCGGCCATGGTAAACTGAGGACTCATGGGATGAGGTGTCACACGGGCCTGGTGAATGCAGTCGGGTGGGGGGTAGAGGGTAGACTTTAGGGATAAACCCAAAAGAACCTGGCTCTTCCATTTACTCGCCGGGACATTCTGGTTAAGTGACTTAGCCTCGCTAACCTCGGTGTCCTCATCTGGATAGGCGGCTAATGATCCCTTTTCCCATCCGCGGAGTGAAGTTGTCAAGCGTGTAAAGCACTGAGCAGGGCGCCTGGCACCTGCTGAGTGCTCAGTAAGTGGTAGCTATACCTGTCATCAGTACTCAGATCTTCTGACCCTGATCTAACCCCGGTGTCCTGCTTCCTCCTATTATTTACTGAGACACAACCCACAACCATAAACAACTGGTATGTGCAGAGCAAACCAGGTACTGGCAGGTGTGATTTTGCTTCCCTCGGGATCAGGAGTGCTGAGATGCGCAGCTGTTGAGGGCGGGCAGTGGGAATCCCTGAATCACACATCTTCCAAAGGCATCTAAGGCCCCAAGGGCCATGCCCTCCTTTCGCTGTCTCCACTTGTCAGTGCCTCCTGATGGGTGCCCAGGCAGTGTCTGAGGGTTAAAGAAAGTTACTCTGCCCCAGTTCCAACACCGCAGAGGTGGAAGGGTGACTCCAGTGCCAGCTTGTCCCGTCCCTTCTATTACGGAAGGCAGAGCACTTGACAAGTTCTCTAGCTGCAGTGGAGAACCAGTACCACACACGTCAAAGCTATTGGAAAGGAGGTTCTTTTCTTCTTCCCATGCTGTGGAAAGGCATCTTGTCCCCTAGCTTGATTTCCTCCCACAAGAAGAAAGACGGTGGTTCTTGGTCTCAAGGCTAAGCTGCTTTTATATGGACCTAGCCAAGACAAAACGGGACCTGACGATTCCAGCTGAACACACCAACTGCTATTCGAGAGAAGGCAAGGGACAGGAAGGCAAGTTGTGGACTTGTATGTAAAGATGAGATGCTCAAAATGAACAGCTAAACCACACATTGTATGTAGTTAACCCCTCCGGTCCCTGGGCCACTGACAAGCATCAGTGTCCAAAGCACGACAGCCTGGCAGCCCGGCGCTGGGCCAGTTCCAGGCCCGTGTCTGTTCCCGCAGGCCTTGCGCGTCAGTAGGAGGAAGCATTCCCAGCCAGGCGCCTAGTCTCAAGGAAGGCGTACGGTGGCAGGGGCTGCAGACACACATAGCGTTCCCCACTTATAGAACCCTTTTGGAGCTGATTCCTTATCAGAGTGGTTGAAGCGCTCAACTTGAGTGGCATAGAAAGGAGTAAATCAGCTAATTTGAAGTGTGAACTGGAAGACGACCAGGGCCCGAGCCAGAAGGGGACCACAGGCCTCAACACAGCTTTTCCAAACATGAGCTTTGTTTATTCAGGGATGTGGGGAAGAGTCACAACCAAGATAATAAAGAAAAATACTGTTGTCCTGAACTCTTTTAGGAAGGAGCCACAGGGGAAAACAAAATGTCTTGGAATTGATTCGATTCTCAAGATTACTTTTTAAGCTTTAGACTGGTTTGCTAACCTTGATGTGTGCCAAAAAATTTCCAGACTTGAGCACAGCAGAAGCTATTAAGGAAAAGGGGTGGGGGTGAAGGGGAGTTAACCAAATAGGAAGGTAGGCTAGTGGAGAAAAGCACTCTATTTTCCCAAAGACTAAAAAATGGGGAGCAGTGTTGCCTCCTTCCATCCAAGCATTTGTCTTCCGTGTTACAAGGCTTGCCCAGTCTCCGTCAGCAGCCCCCAAGACCATGGCCAAGAATCCCCATTGCTCCTAGTTCTGAGAACTTAGATCTTCTTGCTTATGAAATGGAAGTTTTGGTTTTGTAAAACAGTTAAGCGACAGATGTCCTTACAAAGATGCTCTTTAAGAGAGAAACTCATTTCCCTTCCTAAAAGCACAATGACACCTGGCTTGGATAATTTGGGATTTCTGAGCTTTTCCCTCCCATGTTTTATACGGAATCTGGCCAGAGACATTTGCCTGGGAAATTGTGAGTTTTATAGTACAGGGAGACGATCCCCTATCTCAATGAGGAGCCCACGCTTTTGCTGCACTTAGTCAGCCTTCCCTCTAATGGACACCAGATGAGGCCCTGGAACCATCACTGCAGGCTCCACCCATGGCCTCCACACCAGTCACCCTAGTGTGGAGAATCAGCATTCCTGATTCTCAAACTCCCCTTGATTCTGATAAACAGCCAGGAAAATCTCTCAGCTTTATACTTTTCATTCTCTCTCAATAGCTTCATACAAATGAACCAAGTAAAGTCGCCTTAAGGAACCCCTGCATGTATGAGAAAAGCAGGAAGAGTCTCCAAATATAGCCAAGGCTAACCCTATAGCTCTCAGCCTCCTAAATCCGTGACAAAGCAAGGACAGAAGTCTCAACCCTGCCCTATATTCAAAGGGTGGATGAGCTTTCAGTGCTATTTAGAGTCACTTTGTGTCACTGTCATTGGGAAGGGATGAGACAGCCACAGAGTGCGTCGCCACAGTCCCACTGACGGAGAGGTAGTAAGGAGAAAAAGACGACTTGGTAGAACAAAATACTGGATGGGCTCATCAGAAACAGATTTATCAGTTTCTTGCCACAAATGAAAAAAACCACAGAACAAGAAGGTGCACAGACACTGTATTAAACGCTCCTCCCCACCTCAGGATACTTTTTACACTGCAATAAATAGTGCAATTTTAGCAGCGGGAAACAAGGAACGCAGGAAAACCCGCTCCCCTTGTGTAGTTCTGTCCACGCACCTTCTCCCAGCAGCACAACTCCCCGTGCAGGCGGGACCAGGAGGTCTGCGCCCGTGTGCAAACCTGTGGGGCTGGCTGTGGGGCCTGTTCTTGGTCTAACCAGGCAAGGCCTGAGGGGAGGAAACACGGTCACTGAGCCCCAACTAGTGGTGGGACTTCCCAGCTGGAGTTCAAGGCCTGCCACCCCCCTACCTGTGACTCTGAAGGCCTCATCCTGCTTGGCAGTAAGGCAGCGCAGGGGGTGAGCAGCACACGCCCTGCCACCCCTCCCGCCCTCCTCTGCCTGACTCCAGCCCAGGGAGAGGAGAGTTCAGGAGCACACAGGCTCTCCCAGGCCCTCCCCACCAGGAACCTCACTCCCTGCCACTAAGAAGCAGGTCCCCAAGTAACTCTCCATCCAGTTTATCTTACGCCCACACACCTGTGTGCATCGAGAACAGTGTTCCCACAGAGACCCTCTCAGCACTTAGGAATGTGAGTTGCTCAGGAGGGGAGAGCGGGCTTCTTTACCAGGAACCCAGGTCAGAGGCCAGCTCTTCCACCAGCTTTACCCCCAGAAACCCTAATAACTGCCTGAGCACGCACTGCGCAGAGTTCGTCTGGGAAACATGCTATCAAAACCCTCCAGTGACATTCAGCTAAAAGGCAGCATCTTGATTAGGCAGATGTGCTCCAGATGTGCTCCACAGAAAACAAAACAAGACGTGAGCAAGAGAAGAGGACAGAGGAGGCATGGGAAGGAACGTGGGGCGAGGCCGCAGCAGCCGAACACCTGAGCCCAAGCACAAAACACCAAGTGGTCTCCGAGGCTCAGGCCAGAGCTCCATCTTTTCAATTCATTCCAGGAAAATGAGCCTGGAGCAAGAGGGAGGGGAAGAAGGGGGTGCACAGTGCTTGGTAACAAAAATAGAAAGGGCAGGGTGAGGAAACAGGACAGCAAGAGCGGTCATTCTAATCAGCATGAAGCGACCCGGGCGAAGACCACCGAGACAGGAGGGCCCGCGGCCTGTGAGGCACCAACTACGCAGCCACGTGTTTCTGATGGAGAACCCAGGGCCTGACCGCCCGGCACCCATGCTGGCCTTCGCCTGCCCTACGTCTGCAGCAGCACCTCCGGCTCAGACAATGAGCAATAGAGAGTGTACCCCAATTCGTCTATTTCTTCAGGGGTGAGCTCTGCAAATAAGTTCACCTTGGGGTTTAGGGCACTGGGTAGGACCCCGGCCTCTAAATAGCTAATAAGTCCCCTCAAGGCCTGCAGGAATCGGTCGGCCAGCATATCTGGAGACCAGTCCTCCTCCTCCTGGGCCAAGTGGAGGATGACGTTGGTGAGCTGGCTGGCAGTGAGGTGGCCCAGAGCCGGAGTAGACTTGCATATGGCCTTGAGGATTTTGAGGCACAGAGATCGGCAGCCCGAGTCGGCCTGGTCCAAAGCCCGCAGGCGTGCCGTCTCAGCAGGACGCAGGCTCAGCCGCCACAAGTTGTCATACTGGGCCAGCCGATGTGGTCTGGCCACCAAGACAGTGTCACCAAGGGTCACTGATGGCAAGAAGTCGATGACGAGATGCTTGTCACGCTCATACTGAACTTCAAGGGTCAGGGCCTCCGGGGGTGGGGCGGGTCGGATCACATAGTCCAAGAGGGACCCTATGGCCGGCCAGTTGATGGAGCCAGCCACCACCTTCTCGAACGTGTCTGCCACTGTCTTGGGGGAAAGATAGCCCCCTACTACGCAGCGGTCCCAGTAACTGCTGCCACGAGGAAAGTACTCTGGGTTCTCACGGCGAACCAGGAAGAAGCCAGGGACGTTCATGATGGTGTCCTCGCCAGGGATACACGACCACAGGTTCTGCTCCAGCACAAGGGGCACAATGAGCTGGATGTGGTCGGCTGTCACCACCTGTCAGAGCAGAATTAAAAAGGTTTTGAGGAATCTAATCTGCTCCAGAGACACGCTTCCCCAAACACAGGCCCCGCCACCTGTATTCTCCCAACGATCCAGGCAACTAAGAACTCTTGTGCCATCATTTCAACTCACACCAAGGGAGTTTAAACCCAGGTCTCCACGACAGCAGAGCCTGTACTCATTCCACAAGCCTCACCATGTGCAGGCAGGGAAGTGCCTATGGTGTCAGCCCTCAGGCCCAGAAGACCCAAGAAGAGAGAACTAGAGAGGAGAGATGGGCCGGGGCACAGGAAGGAGGCGGCCTCTCACGGCTCCCTCCAAGTCCCTCCAAGGACTAAGAACAAGAGAGGGTGAGACTCAAGATTTGGGTATCTGAATGCGGCGGCAGCAGCACACAGAACGCAGAAGCAGCGAGTCCAGTCTTCCCAGCAAGCCTGGGGCGCTGCCCCCGCACAGCAGAGCGGCAGCATTCTGCACCAAGCAGCCGGGTCAGCACTCACCCACTCTTGGAGAGAAACACCCCATTACCTGCAGGTCATCATAGAGGCTGCCACTCAGGTACATGTCCCGAAGTGGCATGTCAGGCAACTTGGCCCGCAGGAAGCTCCGGAGCTCGGCACATATGTCCACGGCAGCTTGCTTGGCCCGAGCCTGCTCACCGGCAGGGATGGCTGCCCGGTTCCGGTAATAAGAAAGTAGTTTCTCCTGCAGGGACATGCGGAGTCGTGACTTCTTCAAGTCTACCTGGCCCTTCCTGGCCAATGGCTTGGGCCGGGGCGGGCAGAATGTATCTGCCAAGGCAAGAGAGAGGGGCACGTGAGCTCTTCCCGTGCTTGCTCCGTCCACAGCGGCCTCAGCCCCGGAAAGGAGCAGGGCTTGGAACACAAGGCTAGCATGGGCCTGGCGCACAGCCGCCCGAGACACGCCCGCTGAACGCAGTAGTACTGAGCCCGGGGAGCAGTCCAGGGGGTCGCGGTGTTCTCACCTGTGTCAAAGGCCGAGGAGTCCGTGGGGAGGGTCTGCAGGGACCTGCTCAGGCCTGTCTTCATGTCCTTGTTCAGCAAGCGGGGGGAGCCCATCCAGTTTGGTTCTTCCCAGCTCCTCTTCCCGGAATGGCTCAGGCGGGTGGGGCTGGTAGGGGCACTGATGGCCCGATCGTACATCTGCAACAGCAGAGGGGGCCCCGCACGTGTACCTTTCTTCCTGTTCCCCTCCTCCCCAGCGGCCCTGCCCTACTGCGTTAAAACTACTGTTCTTCAATAACTGTTTTATTCTAGTTTATGGACTGCTTTGTTCCGGGCAGAAAAATCTCAGGAAATAGTAAGTGATGCAACTAAGAAACAGACTATCCATATGTCACAACCCAGAAGTAACTGTTAACTCTCTGGTGTTTTTTGGTTTTTTTTTGTTGTTTTTTTCCCCAGATTTATCTATTTATGCATGCAAGAGCTGGGGTACAGGCCAGAGATGTGGGGGGTGAGAGGATTCACCAGAGACAGAGTGGGAAACAGAACAGGCAGATCTACTGAAACACACTGCTGAGGGGAGCAGCGGGCGAGACAGGAGAGGTCTGCCTCGCCATGTGGGTTTCTCTGTGGCCGGCCAGGGATCAAATTCATGCTGCAGAGACTGCAATTGCTTCATACTGCGGTGCTTAACCCCTTGCGCCACCAGGGAGGCCTCTGGTGTATTTCTTTCTGGAAATGTTTACTTATGTAATTAGGATCCTTTCTCTATAAATACTTTTGAAACCTGCTTTTTTCCCCACTTTTTTTTTTTAACATTCCCCTACATCACTAAGAATGAAGCAAAATTTTCCAACTCTACAAAATAGCGGACCATAATGTCGAACACAGATTCATTGATCTAACAAATACTTATCAAGAGGCTACCACATGGCAAGTGTTGTTCTAACTGGCTAAGAATAAAACAGCAAACCAAGAGACCCAATCCTGCCTTCCAGGGTTTGGAGTGGAGGCAAGAGACACGGGCAATATGTAACGCGCGCTGAAGCATGAAGACAGCGCAAGCGCTACAGTGATGAGCGGGAGGGAGGGGGAAGAGCAGGAGAGAAGGAGGGGAGAAAACAATGATAAATGGTGAGAAAAACAAAGTAGGAAAGAAAAAGAGGAAGTGTGTGCATGGCGGGTGTTGCCATTTTAAGTAAGGTCGACGAGGGAGGATATTTTGGATACGTCCAATAGTTTCCTCACTTGGATAAACGTCCTGTACCCCTAATGACGTCTCTAGGGCAGAGCACCAGGCGCAGACTTCTGCAGTCTCTCCGGGCTCAGCTGATGAGGATCAGGTTAGGGCCCATCAGTGGCATGAGACTTGGCCCAGGTCAGCCGCTTTGGAGGCCTGCTGTGCTACTGCTCCCCCCACCCCGGGCCTGGCTCAGGCACTTACCCGTTTCACCGCCAGTGTAGCGATGCCCAGCATGGCTGCTCCGCCCACCCCCAGCACCAGCCGGGCATTGGAGAGCACAAAATCGATGGCTGTGCCGATGCCGTTGTCATCCTTCTTGCCTTTGCGCTCCCCGGCGCCTGCCATGGCTCACCTGGGAGGGCGGGGGACACAGCCATCACCACCTGGGCCTCCTCCCTCCCGCCAGGCCAGTCCCCCAAAAGTTCAGGTCCTCTGTGAGTTCCGCAACCCAAATCCTCCTGCCTCCAGCGCTGCACGCTCTAGGGTGGAGAGGGCGACGCCATGTCATGGATGATGTGGCTGCGCGGTGAGACGCTGAACATGCTCACCATGGGCAGACCTCTCCACGCGCCCACTTGCGATCCCAGAAAGCACCAAGCTCATGCCCATCCTTTCTGGCACGAGAGTGAAATCCCACCGTATCCCACCCCTTCCCAGCCTCACGCCACCACCCCTGAGCTCAGCCACATCGCCATCTCCAATTTACAGATGAAGAAACTGAGGCAAAGACGAGGCAACTGCAGCCTGAAGGAGCTGCGATCCTATCGCTTGTTTTTGGTTTTTTGTTTTTCGGAGGTGGTGATGGTGACCCAACTCATAGTCAAAATAAATTAGGGACACAAAGACTCCAGTCGCTCCCCACTGCCCCTGCAGAGAGGGCGGGCTCCCGTGGGATTCCTCTCACCCCCCGGCTCTGCATGGCGAAGGCGGCTGTGCCCAAATCTGAGAGGATGAGGGGAACCATTACGTAAGGCGCCTCCTCCTGCTTTCCCTCTGTCACAACAGCACCCTCTACCCAGTTGGCAGGCCTGACACCTCACACTCAGCCCTCCTCCTTCTCCCCGTCCCCTGCCTCAGCCAGCTGGCCACCAGTCCCACCACTGCGCACACCGTGTTTCCACGTGGCCACTCCGCCACCTCAGACCCTCCATCGCACCTGGCTAGAGCTGCGGCCTCCTGGGTCTCACCCATTTATTCTCCACACTGCCACTGCCGCGATCCCGCCTCCACGTCATCCCCCTGCTGACACAGCAGTGACGGTCCCCCCCCATCAGATACGCAATCTCATCAGGGGAGTCACGTCCTTCCAGACCTGGCCGTCTCCACTGCAGCCTCCCTCCTTAGAGGAGCACCACTCTGGCCATGCCAGACTCAGGTTCCCAGACTATGAACTGCAGCCTCCACCACCATGCTCGCTTGTTCTCTCCTGTCCCCAGCTACATGGCAATGCCAGGATGCGAAGCAGGCACTGCCCTCTGAAGTCTGCGTACTACGCTCGTTTCACAGACTGGGTTGTAACAGAACAGTTCTGTTTGGGGGATTGTGATTGGATCCCACAAGATAACTAAATCTGAAGATAACTGAAGATTGAGGGAGCCTGAAACTCAGCTCTGACAGTTGTAACCAGTAACTTCTCTAACATTTTCATATGTGAAATGTTCTTTGAAATGGTGATAATTCTGTTCAGGTGGAGCTTGAAATTTAAGGTCTGTTTTCCTCCAGGGAGCATATTTCTGTTAATATGTATTACTTCCTCCTTCCATTTCCAATGGCCAAAGGACTTTGGGCACTAAAAGGAAAGGTTCTCCCTCTGCTGGTCCCCTGCTTGAGAGAAAAACAAACCCCAGAGGACCAAGGGCCTACCTACCTGAGGCTTCTCACTGCATCTGTGAGGTGGGGCTGGGCGGGAGCAGGAGCGTCCACAGAAGGCACCTTTGTCCTCTCCCTTGGAATTAGGATGAGAGGAGAAGGGAAGGGATCCTAAATAATCCCCCCCAGTTTGCTGTGGAGGAAGACCAGGCCCTTTTCCAGCTGCCTCTCCCGGGCCTCAGGATCCTCCAGTTTCTGATTTTTCCGGAACTCACGGCGGATGGAGGCCAAGTAGAAGTCTCGATCAGTGTAGCGAAGCTCTCGACCCTGGCGCAGCAGAGCCCGGTAGAGACTCAGCACCGCTGATCGGCTCCACGGGGCCATGGGGGACCGACAGGGACTGGGCGTCACGCTAGGAGAAGGAAGAAACAGTAACCTAGAATCAGAACATATGACAGAAGGGCCCACAGAGACTCCCTAATTTGGGAGCTCTTAATCTAGGTCTCAGAGACTGCAAAGGTCCACTACAACTTAGTGGCAGGGCTGGGCCCAGACCCCAGCTCCCCACTGCAGATCCCAGGAAACTACAGGTTATGCTGAAGGGCCAGGGCGTGGCTCTGCCTGGGCTTGGATCTGGTTCTGCCACTGACTTTCCTCACGACTTTGGGCAAAGTATTTAACCCCTCTGAGCATCACTTCCTCACTTGTAGAATGTCGATAATGTGCTGACAATACCACTAGGGCTATTTTGAGAATTGTATGAGACAAAAGCATGGAAGCGCCTGTAATTGAACTTCACCACAAGGGATGGTCTAGAGTGACTGAAAACGACTCAGGCACACTTAAATCCTGGTACTGCCACTGATGGGCTGACCACCTTGGGCAAGTTTCTTTAACCTCTCTATACTAACCACAGCTCCTCACCTGTAAAAGGAGGATTAAAACTGTATTTTGCCCACATGGTTGGTATAAGGATTAAATGAGCCACACACTAAGCATCCCACCAGGGAGAGCTATTATCACAGCTACCCACCCTTAAGTGCTCGGTAAATATGAGATGTAGTCACACATAAACTGATACCATCTTCCTTCAGGAACAATGAACCCTGACACCAGCACAGCGTTGTCATATGTAAAATGCTCTGCCGCTCATTATTACATTTAAATTAAGGAACGTATGAGGCAGTCAGGGTTCATAACATAGTTTACATTCATGGAGTGTTTACTATACGCCAGGCACCATCTAAGCACTTCCCACACAACTCATCTCATTCTATCAACAACCCCAGCATCATCATTATCCCCAGGCAACATAGCTGTATAGCCACCCCCCAACTCCTGACCAACTCTGCCTGCTCCGTAATGAACTGTCACTTACTGGGACCTCACCATGTGTACAGCACCTCTGGGCGCCTCACAAACTTTCCTAGCACAGGCCCTGGTACATGGCAAGGGTTCAGAAAATAAGTTGAAGGAGGAAATCCTCCAAACATCCCCATGTGGCAGAAAGGATCACCCCCGTTTCAGATCTAAATAAATGACGCTGAGTGGGGGAGACACACGACTGGTAAAAAGATGTGGACTTTGAGCGCAGCCAGGAGCCATCGGCCTCGGGCCTTGCTAACTTCCTGCGCGAGCCCGAGCAAGCCACGGGCCCGGTCCCTTTTCTCCACCGTGAGGGAGAGCCCCGCGGGCCCAAGGGCCTCCCGGACTGTGAGCGATGAATCCAGAAAACCGCAGGAAAGTGCCTTCTGAGGCAGAAAGCGCCCGTCACGCGAGGGCTGTCGTTACAAGGTCGCTCGGCGAGGGGCCGGCCGCGCCCCGGCGATCCCCAGTTCCTCCCCTGACTCGGGGGGCCGGGCCGCCCCGGAGGGGAGACCCTGAGACGGGAGCGGGCCGGAGCCCCGATTGGGCTCTGGCCGGGGCGGGGCGCGGCGCGGCCTCCCAGGGAAAGCCCGGGCGGGCTGGGGCTGGACCCCGGCGGCCAGGCCGGCAGATGGAGTCCGGGCCGGATGGGGGGCGCCGGCCGCGGCCCTGAGAGGAGGCGCGGCGAACCCCGGGCCTCACCCGCCCCTCACTCACCCGCGGACCGCGCGCGCCACCACTGCTCGGGACTCGCCTCTCGCCCGGCACCTCTCCCCGGGTCACCCGCCAACATGGCCCCTTCACTTCCGGGACACGACCTTGCGCACGAGCCGGGGGGCGGGGCTGAACCCTGAGGGGGCGGGCGGAGGCGGCCGGACTTCCGGTCTGCGCGGCCGCGGCCGCCCTCGGGGCGGGGCCAGGGGCTCGTGGCCACGCCCCCGCGCGGCTCCGCTCGCGCCCCCGTCGGGCTCCGGCGCTGCGTGCCGGGCTCCGCTGGGCCGTCTGGGGGTCTCTGTGCGAACCCCGGCGCGGATAACAGCCCCTGTGGCGTCCAAACCTCTCCCAAGCCACCTTCTCAGGACGCCTCCTCATCCCTCCGGGCTTCCCGTCCCCGCCCGTTGGCCCCTGGCGAAGCCCGAGCCGCCCAGGTCCGCGCCGGTCCCTCTTCCCCGGCCCCTCCTGGCCGGCGGGGATCGAACTCGTGCCGCAGAGGCTGCGGATTGCCTCACAGTGCGGTGCTTAGCCCCTTGCGCCACCAGGGAGGCCCTGGCGGATTCTAAATGTAAAAATGTTCACGGTTAGCGGGCAGACACATGAAACAGATGGAAACCAGGTCGCGGCATCTCTTGGCTCCAAACCCCCTGCCCTGCTGTCTCTGGGCCCCTGACAAGGGCCCCTGACAAGGACCCCGTGCAGCACACCGGGCCCCGCAGGAGGGTCTGGGCACCTCGTAGGACTCAACCTGCTCAACGACAAAATGTGTTCATTGGCCCCTCTTATTTCGAGGCACTGCTTTGTAATTTACCCATTTGCTTCCCTGCCTCTCCCCGGACCGGAGGGCAGCACCTTGCAAAGGACCACAGGGGACGAGGGCTAAAGCAGGCACCAGGCAGCGGGAAGAGGACGGGGGCTCAGACCAGGAGGTGGCGGCGGGGAGGAGGGCCAGGTGCTGGAAGTATTTGGACGTCTGTATGGAGTCTGCCACCCCCTCTCCCTGGTGCCCCGTGGTGCCCAGCTCCCAGTCCAGGCATGTCCGTTTCTTTGGGATGGTGAACTTCAGGCTTTGGAATCAGGCCCCAGGGGTCAGGATGACAACGTAAGGGAGTGGGGGGCACTTACAGAGTCCTTGCCCATTCATTCATTCCTGCCACAGATCCTTGCTCGGGGTCTCTGATGTGTAAAGCACCACCAAGGGCATTGCAGGGAACAGAAAAATCAGTCCTCTCTCCTCCTGGGAAAGAGAGGAGGTGAAAAGAACTTGGAGCAGAAACATTGAGTGAGAGGAAAAGCAGGAGGGAGGGAAGGAGAGAGGGAGGCCCACCTGGTGAGGGGATGTGGAGCAGGACCTGTGGGCAGGGCATCCTGGTGTTTGGCCCTCATGTGGGCTCTTCGGGCTCCGGCTCCGGGTCCTGGGAGGCACCAGAACAGGAAGAGAGTGAGCGGGAGCTGGGGAGAGGCCGGACAGGTCCTCGTGAGGGGCCCAGAGACTGTAGGGCAGGAGGGTTTTGAGCCAAGAGATGATGGGACCTGGTTTCCATCTGTTTCATGTGTTTGTTTGCTTGCTAATGGTGAACATTTTTACACTTAGAATCTGCTAGGGCCTCCCTGGTGGCGCAAGGGGTTAAGCATCGCACTATGAGGCAATCGGCAGTCACTGCAGCACAAGTTCGATGCCCGGCTGGCCAGGGAGCAACCCACATGGCACAGCAGACCTCTCCTGTCTCACCTGCTGCTCCCCTCAGCAGTGTACTTCGGTCAGTCTGCCTGTTCTGTTACCCACTCTGTCTCTGGTGAATCCTCTCACCCCCTACATCTCTGGCCTGTACCCTAGCTCTTGTATGCATAAATAAATAAATCTTTAAAAAATATTAAAAAAAAATAGAATCAGCCAACTGGACTCAGTTTAGAGGCCCCTGATTTTACCGGCACCATCCAAAGCCTCATAATCAGGAGCCAGGCAGATGGGCCTTCCTTCCATCAGACCCGCCAGGGTGTTGGCCCGGCTACGTGATGTCACAGAGCATCTTCCCAGCCTGTCTAGTCTGTGTTGATGGCCTTGACACCACAGCCAATGAGGCGCTGCTGCCTTTGTCCTCCCCGTGGTGGCTCAGAGGTCGGGACACCTGCTGGGAGCATCATGGTTCAGCTTATTCCGGGATATTGGGGCTGCCTCTGGGGTCGCAATGCCTCCGCTGCCAGAAGGTGGGTGGGATCTTGGGGTTTTTGTGTCTGTGGAGGTTTTCGGCACTGCCTTCTTGGCCTTTGAAGCCTTGGGAGTTGGCCAGGACAGGGGCTTCCTTCTCCACTTTGGAGTCCATCTTCACAAAAAGGGCTCCTGACTTCTGCTTCCACAGGCTCCGTCTGGCTTGAGACTAAGTGAAGGTGTTAGGGGGAAAAGGATGTCCCGAAGCAAATTCCATACAGGCTTTGTGGACTCCACCCCCACCCCAGGTCAAAGCCAAAGACACTGGGAACTCCAAATCCCATCCCCACCCAAGGGAAGGTGGCTGGGACCTGAGGGTGGGGTTAAGCAGCCAGGTGGATACAAAAGGCAGACATGTGGGCTTTGGGGATCCCCCATTTTGGCTCTCCACCAGCTCGCAGCGTCCGGCCAGCTCAGAGAGTGACTTTGGGTTTCCAGGTCGTGGATCGGGTAGGACGCATTAAAGACTTTATTTCCCTATTTCTCCCTGAGTTGTATATTTTCCTTATTTCCTTTTCCCTTGTAAATAAACCTTTTATGAACCTTTTGTGTGTGTCTGTAGTAGAGTATTCATAAGTCCCTTGTAAGCGCGCGGGTGAGGACCCACAGCCAGGAATCCGTTCAATATCGGGGTTGCTCTATAACAAAGGGAACAAAGGTTAACCCAGGGAGACTGACAGAGCGGCCAGGGAATCTGGCCAGGGAGGAGAGGGCAGCATGGAAGGGAGGGGTCGCAGCCTCTGTTAGGAGCCCAGAGGATTTGCTGCTGTGGGGGAGGTAGGAGCTTCGGGCTTCTGTCTCAGCCACCGCGGCTGCCTCCTGCTCCTGTCTATTTAGGAACCTGTCCCGGGTTTTCCAAATTGCTGATGGGACTGAGCATCTCCAGGAGGGCAGGGAAGAGTTCTGAGTGACACAGCGCCCCCACCCCTTCCATCCCCCACACTCCACACACACACCCAACCCCCCCACCCCCCCACCCCCGCCGCAGTAATGGAAATGGTGAACCCTTGGCGCTTTAGGGAAATGGAGGTCCCAGGTGGAATCCTTGAGAAGCGAGACTTCAGACTAGGAGCAATAGTGTCTGAGTCTGAGGAACCTGGGGTCTGTTGGACTCATTTCCAACCCCCAGGACTGGGGGGGGGGAGGGGCCCCGAAAGGAGGACGTTAGCATGCTTGGCCTCTCCTCTCTCAGGCAGCGCCAGCACCCACAGCGGCCTTCATCAAGCACCTACTGTGTGCCAGACACGGGACAGACACTGCAGTATGTCTAACCCTGACGCCCCCTTTGGTAGACAGCATTGTTCCCATTTTATGGATGAGAAAACCAAGAGCGAAAGAGGTTTGGCCAATTCTCTAAGAGACGCTGAGCGGGGCGCAGAGACGCCAGGGCCAGAGCCCGAGACCTGGGCACGTGTTCTCCCCTCCCCCCGCCGCCCTACTTTGCTCTGGGAAGAAATATTTTTTGACCCAAATAAATGTAATTGGTTACGGCTCTGGCTGGAAGGCCAGGTGACCTTTTGTGTCCCTCCTGATCCTCCTGTTCTAGCGAATATTATTTTTAGGCGGAAAGGAGGGAGCCCCTGGCAGGCTGGCTGCAGGCCCGCTCCCCCAAACTCTTCAGGGTTTTCTCTTTACTTCCACGCTCACAGCCTCCTTGCCGCCCCCAGTCAACGTGGCCGGGGTGCGACAGGGGCAGTGAGGCAGGCGTCTGGCCCCACGCGTGCCCGGGGTGCCTTTGTAGGCTGGAGAGCCCAGGCGCAGGGCACTGACCCCAATCTCAGGGCTCCGCGGGGTGTGTCCCACCTGGGGGGCTGAGGTCTGCAGAGATTGTCCCCAGGCTGCTGCGGTAGCCCCTGAACAGTCATTGGTGGGCAGCAGGCGCAGACACTGATGAGTTCTCCCCATGAACCAACACCTGTGAGCCCCAGCTCCCTGGTCCTCAAGGCAGCCCCGCGCAGGACTGCGCTGCGGGGACCAGGTCATCGTGGGCCCAGCTACATCCGAGGAGACGGGACCTTGAAGAAGCTGTAAGACGAGGATCTGAACTCGGGTCTGGAGCTGAGAACCAGCCACAGGATAGAGGTCATTACTCAGGATGAAGGTGGAGGAAGAAGACACCGGGGGTGAGGAGCCCTGGGGGCATCGACACCTAAGGCCCAGGAAGCAAAGGACACTAGGGGGGACCAGCAGAAGGCGGGGGTGTCCTGGAGGTTTGGGGAGGAGGGAGAGGCCACTGTGCTCCCACAGCTGCCAGGCCTCCCCCTGACACGGGAGCGTGGGCCTCCCCCTCAGGGAAGTGGAGGGGTGGAGTGAACCCCAGATGAGGAGCCTGGCTGCCCTGCGCATGCCTGGGTGCAGGGGTCCTTGGGGTTGGATTGGGGACAGGTCATTGAGGCAGTTACACCCCCTGCTGATTCGGAGGCCGGAGACTAGGGGCCCACAGCCTGCCAGTGCCAACCCACACTGCAGACCCAGCCGAGAGCCAGGGCGGGGACACAGGGGAGGAAGCCTCGCTGCCCCGCATGCTGGGGAGATGCGC